AAAATTTGCCACTGTTACTTTCCCACACCCCCAAACATCTCTTCAACCCCCTACCCTTCCACACACGCCAGGCAGCCCCTATGCGGAGAAGACTGCTCGAGCAGTGGGTCTGGGAGTGCAACATCCCCTTGACTCCTGTTGCGATGCGGCCTTCAATGATGCAACCCCATGCCACGAGTTTCCCCAAGACTCCTACATCCACCAGGGCACGTCAGGGGTGGTGATCTCTGGTTAAGTAGCTCTTCTGCAGCCAGGGTTGGGGGCAGAAAGCCTCTCTGTGTGCCTTTGATTGTCTATGGTGAAGGCTTTGAAACCACCATGGAAATAAAATGACTCGTTGCAGGCGGGCCCCATTCATCTTCTCAAAGCCAGGAACAGTGAGCAGCAGGGCTGATTTTTCTGGGGGCTGCTGGCATCAACGGGGTGGCTGCAGGTAGGGGGAGGCAGTGGTGTGGAGCCCAGCAGCTTTCCAGGCCAGTGCTGGAGCTCAGCTCCCTCACGCCCTCAAAGAAGAAATAGCCACGAAGCCTCTGGGTTCAGGATGCAGCAGCTCAAAGGGACTTGAGGAGACCTAATGGCAACACTCAGGAGGAGCAAGAAAGTGATATTTCGCAGAACAGGTCTGAGGCACAGGGAGATCAAGGTCAAAAGTCTCCTCTCCTTGAGGGTGCCTCTCTGGAAATGCTATTTTCCACCCCTCACAACCACCCGTATCATCCCATGTTCTCAGGCACAGTTTCCATTACAGTCCATCGTGGGCACACCCACAGATCAGCCTCGAGGCTGGAGACCCAGAAAATGAGGAACATGTCACCCAGGATGTCCTTCCAAAGGTTTGTTTTCGCTCCCTTGCCTCGAGCTGCCAGGAGTAGGCTGGGACTGTGGGCAGCAAGGGCCGCAGGCAATGCAGGCTGCAGGCAGCAGGGGCTGGTTGAGCAGGCCCCATGTGTTCTGCAAGGTGAGGACCATGCTGGAGAAATAGCGTGTCATCATCTAATTAAAGACTCTTCCAAAGGGCGTAGGTGCCAGGAGTTAATTAAGCCTGCAGCCTCACTCCAGCAGTCTCAGCCTTTGAGTGCTTTAATTCCCAAATTGTTGCAATAACATGGTTCCCATGTGCCTTTTCTGAGGTGCCTTTCAGACACCAGGGGAAATCTCTCACCCAGAGGTGTCTAGCGGCACTGACCTGGACCTCTGCTGCTGGCAATGGCAAAGCCATGGGAGAGCCCGTGGGATGGTGTGCCAGCGAGGAGCTGCTAATGCCTGTGCCCAGCTTGGGGCATCGTGAGCCTGAAGTATTGGGAGCATAAGGACAAAATGGAAAGATCTGGCCAGCCTGGTTGAGTCCTGATGTGCCTGGGCTGTGACGCACCGACACTTGAGCTGATGCTGAAGCAAGGCTTCAGTCTTCAGTTTTCACCCGTGGTGAGGAGCCCTCTTACCCTTGAGGGAAGCGTCAGGAGTTTTGTGGTAGAGAAGAGAGCAATATTGGTCACCTCAAGAGGTGGCTGTGACTAATATTTACGTACACACCCACCTTCCCTGTTTTCCTACCCAGATGCGATTACACGAGGCAATATCTTTACTTTATGAAACATCGAGGCACTTGATTGCTGAGGTAGTTAGTAACTGCTACCAGGGCAATGGGTGGGTTTAATGCCCAGGTGTGTTTTAAAAGCCTGCTTTGCCCAGTGATTGACCCTTGGTTGTTAAAATACAGCAGCAATCAAAGCAATAAAACATAGCCAATCAAGTTCAGATAGGACTGAAACCCCACTCCTAGCAGAGCACAGCATCCTACCGGAGTGATAGCTGCTAAAATTGGCTGACAGAGTATTGGAGGGTACGACAACTGGTACATGCAGTAACTGAGGAGATGATGTTAATTGCGGCTGAACAGAAGGTAAAGGCTTGTGATGTGCCAGGAGTGCTATTTCAGGTATTGAGGTTTCTTATTCTGGAAATCAATTATTATTGACCAGGACAGATAAGAGAGGAGAAGATAAAAAAAAAAAAAAAGTATTAAAAAACATTAAAGGTAAGAAAGCCATCCTGACTCATAGAAAGCAGCAGGAGCTTTCAATGCATTGAGTATGAATTTTAATGCTTCCTTTACTCCATGTAATAGTGAAAGAGTGGGAAGTAAAACAAAGACTGTAGATACTATTTTCTAGATTATGAGCTGTCTCCATACATGCTTTTTAGCTTTCCATACTTGGCATTTTTACTTAAGTTTGCTAAAAGTGGATTTGTGAATCACCCACCACACTTTGATACTCATAGCAGGATGGTTGTCCTCAGCTGGTTGTTGGGTTTTTTTAAATAAAAGCACATATGCTATTCAAGTTTTCTTCTATTGCAACCTGCTGAGCTTTTCTGACCAACTTCCTTGTGTTCTAAAACAAAGCAGCCAGCCCCAGACATTTCCCAGCAATATGCAATCATTTCTGTTATTGCCTGCAGGTTTATGTTCCAAATAAAGTTGATGTCAGTTGTGCTGATGGAATACGATTGGAATGTATTTTGGAGAGACAGGAGGACAGTAATGTGCACTATTGATGGCTCCGGCACAGTATAGGAATCCTATTTGCCTAGAGTCCATTATTGTTGCAGGGACATTGGCAACATGAAGGCAGTACAGTGACATTTGGCTTGCAGCCACACTTCAGCCAGATGGGACACATGGTTTCTCCTGTGACTAGGGAAGATGGTTGACCTGCAGCTTTGAGGATAGGCAGCCCTGTTGGTACTGGGCAGAAAAGCGAGCATCTTACCCAGTCCTGTGAAGATGTCCTTACTTGGGCAGATGTCCTCAAGCCATTGCTCTTTAGCCCAGGTCTCCCTGATGATACTTTTCTGGCACTGTTGACCCACAGTCAGCAGGGAGGGACTTCATCTCCCTTCAAACCTGTCTTGACTGTCTCTGACCCACAGTCATCATCTTGCTTAGGTTCCTGCTCCTATCCCTGGGTGGCAAGCCACTGCTGGGACGTCTCTCACAGCACCTTATTCTGCATTAATGCCCAGCAATGGAAGAAATCACTGCTTAGGACAGGACCTTGCTATGGAGCATATCAGAGGCCAAAGGCAGGAGACTACAGCAATTTCTACAGCTATGGTAGTGGGCTAAGATCATGCATGCATAGGGCACAGACAGGTTTCCCCATACTCAAAAAACAAGGGATGCAGCTCCTGACGCACCTCCTTTGACAAAGAGTGGACACAGGGACTCCAATATTGCCTGGTGGTATGAGAGTCTCCTGCAAGACTGGACAACACAAGACACTCATTTGCCGGTGTCATTTCTGAAAGCAAAGGCAGAGCCAAAATCAGAGTCACAGAGACAACACACCACGTGGAAAAGGGAAACAGAGGCCTCTGCCTCAGCCTGCAGACTGATGACTAAATGCCACGAAGAAAATCAGCCACATGTAAACCCTGTTAATTGTATCTCACTTGGATTTGTGCCAGGAGGAAAAAGAATGTACGCCTCAAAAATGATGCAGCATCTGCAAACAAGTAATTTACCCTGTTTAAGAGTTAACATTGTTTCATATTTCTCTCCTTGTTACTGTTAGCAAAACTTCTACCACGTGTAGAAAAAAAATGACAGGGAAACTAGTCTTCCCTGAATGCTCAGCTTGATTATTTCAATAATTCTCCATCAAGACCAAGAAGTAGCCATTTGATTTAGGTGGGGAATGCTGTCTGCCTGCGTTGGAAAGTAACGTGAAGCAAAGTGGGGAACAGCAGAATGAATAATAACTGAGGCTTTTTGGAGTGGAAATAATATTTTGATGAAGCATGCAGTGACTGCAAAGTAGGACAGTGTGACTCGATGGGGATGTCTGGTTCCTGGCCCAGAGCTCATTTCTGTGGGGCTGGTTTCTTTCCTGGAGACAGTTCTGCATTTTTTGAAACGTCTTCCTCTAAAATAAGGGGCCACTGTCTCTTAATACATAGTATCCACCTCAGGTCAAGGACAAGGATTTAAAAAACCCTCTCAGAAAGAGTAGGGATTACAACCCCTGCTACTCCGGCCAGCTTTCCCAGTCAGAGGAGCAGTTCAATATTAAGGATCGTGATGGAGATATTACTAAGGGACCATAGTGTATATACTCAGCAACCTAGCAGCTTACAACTAATCACATAATATTTTGCTTTCAGATAGGATGGGTAAAAACACAGCCTGCAAGTCCAATTTCTGTTCTATATTTGATCCTCAGAACAGCTAATCCTCTCTGTAAACTGTAAACTGTGTCCAGAATGTTATCCTCTTCTGATCTGTTGTTGGTAATTGGGTTTTCTTCCAAGAATTTAACTCATGTTTGGTTTTTTTTACCCTAGTAAAATCCCTAAATAAATAATGCAGACATATTTTTAAAGCCAACCTATCCTCAGTTTTCAGTCCTACTTCCTTTTGCTGGTCTCAACCTGCTGTGTTCAAGACTTTT